CTTTCCAAGAGTTTGTATAAATAGCCCTCGTTACTTTCTCTCTACTTGATAACAGGGTAGATATTAAGGGCTCTGAAAACAGCTCTCTTAACAGCTGCTCTTCATAAACCAGGTGGTCAATGATAAACCTGCTACATCCGGGTAGCTCACTGGGCCCTGGATCAGTAAATCCTTTCTTTGAGGAAGGTACCAAAAGGGTGTGACTGCTATCTGTAGAATGGAAAAAACAGGACTGCTTTGGCCAGAAAGAAGTAATCATAAAAACTGGAACGCTTTCTTTCCAGATTTTCTTCAGCACTTGTGGGATCATCTGAAATGGGGTGGAAAGCGTAATAAGAGTGTGCCAAAGCATCTGTCCCCAAGGATCCATTGTCCCTGGGGGGGGGGGGGGGGAAGAAAAGGGGAGGGAGGAATCTGTGCATTTTCCCTAGATGCGAACAGGTAAACCTGTGGATGCCACCTCTGGGTAACCAGAGGAAAGACTTGTGTTCAGGGACCACTCTGCTTTATGAACGCATTGCCTGCTCACAAAATCTGCCACTTCGTTCAATGTGCCCTTCAGGTTTAACGCTGATAAGGATAGCAAATGGTCCTTGGCCCAATTCAGGATTTCTATTGCCAGCAACTGAAGGGCCCTGCTTCTCGTTTAGGTAAGCCACAGTTGTGGCATTGTCTGACAGAAATTGAACAAGGTGCCCCTGAAGATCCTGAGAAAATGCTGATAACGCTAGGGCTACTGCCCTATGTGCTCTCCAATTTGAGGGTTTTTCTGCTTCTGACCTGGACCAGTTTCCTTGTGCCAGATTTCCTCTCCAAAAGGCCCCCCAACCCGAGGAACTGGCATCCATAGTGACCCTTCTCTCAACTGGAAAGAGATCTCTTGATAGGACAGCCTGATCCCCTACACCACCAAAAAGCTTTTTACCCTGGTGGGGATCTTCAATGCTGTGTCCAAGGAACTCAGATTGTGATTCCCACACCCTCAGAAGAAACTCCTGGGAGTGGCCTGAAGTGCAGCCATGCCCATTGAGTGGCTGGCATCATTGAAGTTAGAGTTTCTAAAGTTGACATAACTCCTCTTATTGATAAACTATGATTGGACTGCAACAGTGCTACCACATTCTGAACTTTGTTCTTTTTCTCCCCTGGCAGGAAGATACGCTATTCCACTGAATTGATCCGGTAGCCTAGAAACTGTACTTCCTGTGCTGGCACGAAATTTGATTTCTGGAAGTTCACAATCCACCCCAAGTTCTCCAGATGGGTGCGGGCTCAGATCAAATCCTCCTTGTAATTTTTCCCTGGAAAGTGCAAAAAAAAAAAAAAAAAAAAAGGAGATTGTATAGGTAAGGAATTACAGCAATCCCCTGCAGACGACGTGGCATTAGAGCTTCCGCCATTACCTTTGTGTATATACATGGAGCGGACAAAAAAAAACAAAAAAGGTAGAGCTTTCAATTGTAAAGGAAGAATTTGATTTCCCATATTTACTGCAAGTCTGAGAAATACTTGAGACTGAAGAGCAATGGGGATATGAAGGTAGGCATCCCTCAAGTCTGTTGACACCATAAAACAACCATGAGTCAAGATTCCTGACTGACAATCGAGCCCACGCTGAATTTTCTGTATAGAAGGGATTCGTTTAAAGGCTTCAGGTTGAGGATAAGATGAAATTTCCTAGAAAGTTCTCTGTACTAGACAGACATGGGAGGGGGGGGGGGGGGGGGGGGGGGGTTCGTGAACTCCATCCTGTATCCCTGTGAAAGCAAAGCCACAATATACTGACTTGAAGCTATGCTTTTCCACTGATGCAGGAACCCCTGAAGCCTTCCTCCCACTGAAAGCAGTGAGCCATTGTGTTTTGTTGGTCTGCACAGGAGGATGGAAAAAGGAATCCACCTTTGCCTTTTTTTACTTCTGTGCCGACCAATTTTTTTTCTTTTTCCCTGGGCCTTGTTTACCTGCTCCAGTCAAAAAAAAAAAAAAAAAAAATGGCTTAGGGGCCATTTTCTTCTTTTGACGGGAAAGGACTTTTTTTGTCCACTATCCTAGCCAAAATAGTCTAGATCTGGACCAAACTGCAGAATTCCTTTTACTGGAGATCTTCAAAGTCTACTCTTCAATGCCACATCCCCAAGCCAAGTTTTTAACCATAGTGCTCTTCTGGCCGAGATACATAGGGCGCTGACCTTGCCGACATTCTAATGGACTCAGCTGAAGCATCTGCTATATATGCAACCACTAAGAGTATAGAAAGAATCCAAGATCTCCTGCTTTGGTGAATCCACCACAATATGTACCTTCAGTTGATTAAGCCAGTATTCTAGGTTTTTTGCTACTCAAGTAGTGGTTATGGCTGGCTTAATATTACCAATGATTGATAGGACCTTTTAAGCAATGGATCCACCCGTTTATCCATGGGATCTTTCAAAATACCCATGTCCTCAAAGGCTAGGTCAGTGGATCTATATACTTGTGAAAAGGCTGCATCTGGCTTAAAAAATTTATTGCATACAGCTGCGGATCCTCTTCGAAGGGGAACTGCCTCTTGTGGGCTTTGGGAAAAAAGGCTCTCCCTAGATCCAACCATTTTTGATAGCCTCATAGATCACAGAATGTAACGGAAAAATACACCCTTAAGGCTCACTAAGCCCCAGTACATACGGTCATGCAGAGTTCATTCTTTTTTCCCCTCTTTTTCCCAAGCCTAATGTAGCATAAATAGCTTTCAGTAATCCATCCACTTAGTCTAGGGACAACGTATACCTTGAGGGAGTACTATCACCCCCTTCTTCCTCATTAGAATGAGTGGGGGAATGACCCTCTTGGATGGCAGTATCACCCACTTCTGCTTCTACTAAAAGGGTTAACAGTGAGCTCTGTGAGGATGCAGAGGTGGATGCTTGACTCGGGGTTGGAACTACCAGTGAGGAACTAAAAGATTGTATATTGGCATACAGCTTGTTCTTGAATTTAGATTGCTGCCCATAGACACGGATTCTTCCTTAACAGAAGCATCAAATACAGACTTTGCACAAAGGCTTTTTACAATTATCTCCCAGTTTTGTTTTGCATGAAGGCATTTCTTCACTGACTGTTCAGAGCTCTTAGAATGAATGGGCCAAAAAAAAAAAAAGTGCACAAGAAGCAACAAAGGAAATCCCAGTGCCAAGACAGGCCCCAGCCACCAGGAGGGAAACAAAGAAAAAAAAAAAAAAAAAAAAAAAAAAAAAAAAAAAAACCAAGAGACCCCAGGCAAATGCAAAGGTGAAAAAAACACACACAATCACCGCTTACCTGGGCCTTGCTGGTGCCTGTCCCCACTGCTGCTAAGCCTGTGTCCTCCATTACGGGTATGCAGCAAACCAATCCATGTGGCTATTACTTGCTGGTCCAGGACTCCAATAGTGCCACTGTGCCAGACCTGAACCATGAAAAATAATGCACCAACCATTCCTCCACCTCCTGCACTGAGCAGCCGTAAATAATGTCATGCGCCTGACCCAGTAGCCCCTGTCCCTTCCAGAATGCCAGGGACATGATCCGGCCACCAAAAGATGACAGCAGCTTTCTATCAGCGCTGCAGCCTAGAGCAGGGCTGCCCTGCTCAGTATAGACTCTCCACAAGTACAGAAGGTGGAGAAGAGCCCATGCACTACCTAACCTCATGCATGGAGCTGGGAGGACCAGGAGTATCTTAAAGAAACAAAAAATTAGTAGCTCAACCAGGTCTCTTAGGACAAAACCCAAGAGATCCTGGCTCCAGGTGTTCCCACCAGGCCAAAAAAAAAAAAAAAAATTACAAGTGGTGGGGAGAGGCCTTCATTTTAAAGATTGGTGGAAGAGGGGGTTTCCTGTTGTCTGGTGGGAGAAGCTACGATCCAGGTACTGTCCTGAAAGAAGTTTTGGGGAATTGAGCAGAAGGGTGGAGGAAGGCAAGCATTTTCCCCAGATGAGCTGTAATCTAGGGATAAAAGATAACGTCATCCTTTAACTCACATTACATACAGACCAGGGGCGGACTGACCATTTGGAAAAACTCAGGCAGTGCCCGAGGGCCCGGGGTCAGTAGGGGGCCCCATGAGATGCCCCTGGTACCCTTTTCATAGGCTTTTTTGAGTTTGGGCAAGGACACGGGGCCCCATGATTCCCTATTGCCCAGGGCCCCATGAGTTGTCAGTCTGCCCCTGATACAGACATGAGAAAGTGCTCATATACATTTTTTTGTACCATTTATTTTATTAGAAAGACTATCAAACATTTCAAACATCAAAAAAAGGAGAGGATACCTTCAATGTAACACTTTTTTGCAATGGTTGTAAAATCCATAAGCAATCACATCAGCAGCTTCAGCTCTAAAACACGTGTTGGGTAGAGCAGATTGAGTGCTCCATCTGCTGGCTGGAAGTGGAGGGTGCAAGGTGCCTCTGTGTGAAGGGGACTTTTCACGTTATCAATTGGCTTTATGCCAGTTATGGAATTTTGGCAAGTATTTTATTTGCAGAAAATAATTTAATTATAGAAATCTGCCAATTAGTTTTTATGGTTCACAACTCTCCAGTTCTTTTACTGGGCAAAAAAACACAGAAACAAAATAAAATAAAGTGACCAAGCAAAGAGCATTTACCGATTTTTATAAGGTAGGACAATCAAGTGACAAAGTCATCACTTGGAGTGCCCTGAATTTTTTTTTTTTTTTTTTCTACACACTCACAGTCATGATTTATCTGTGCAAGTCACTGTGGACTGGACAAATCTGCAGGCATTCAACTCTGCATTGTGCATACAATGGTTGATAATGGGCTTTTGGAAGCATGTGGTCTTCTTTAAAAAGAAATCCTTTACTAAACATATCGAACACAAGAGCATTTAACACATGGCATTCCTGTACTTCAGTCCATTGGCGACACACAAGCTTGCATAGACAGCAAGGCTACAGGACGCACCTTATTCTCTAGGTGCACAATCAGTTCTCAGAGGAGGAACACTGCCCTCTAGTGTTAGCTCTCTGGAAGTGGCTGAGTGAGGATGCAGCTTCGGGTCTTCAGTTGGGACTGAGCGATGTCAGCCAGAGCAGATTGGATCTTTTCCAGCAACATGTCCCCTCGGTAGACCACCTCCTCCAGGCGAGCTGCAGCGGCATGGTTCTCCTCTTCTAGCTGGTACAGACTGGCAGCCTTTAAAGAATCAGGAAATAAAAATGTGACAATGACGAACATCGGAGTATATCAAACGAATATATCAGTCTTAAACTGGAGTTTTTTGGGTTTTTTTTTATATGAACAACCCCATGTGATGCGCTTAAAGCTGCAGTTTATTTTGCCTTCCATGGTGCTTCCCTCTCCACTTCATTAACATGCCAAGTTCATCTGCTTTCAATACATACCTTATTTTGATCCAGTGACATCATTCTTGGTGGTCTGTTTCTCTATACAATGCAGATCATGGCTGGTAGGAGGGGTTGTAGGGTGCTGTACATAGTGCTGTGAGAAAGTATTGGCCCCTTCCTGATTATTATTTTTATTTTGCATTTATCACACTTAAATGATTCAGAATAAATTTTAATACTACACAAAAGAAAACCAGAGTAAATACAAAATGTAGTTTTTAAATGAGGATTTCATTTATAGTTCAACTTTTGTCTCATCAGTCCACAGAATATATGCCCGAAAGTCTTGAGGATAATCAAGATGCAATTTGGCAAATGCGAGACGAGCCCTTGTGTTCTTTTTGGTCAGCAGTGGCTTTCACCTTGGAACCCTCTGATGGATGCTATTTTTGCCCAGTCTCTTTGTTGAATTATGAACACTGACCTTAACTGAGGAAAATGAGGCCTGCAGTTCTTTAGATGCTGTTCTGGGTTCTTTATGACCTCTTGGATGAGTTGTTGTTGTGCTTAGAGTAATTTTTGTAGGCCGGCCACTCCTGTAAAGGTTCATCACTGTTCCATCACTGTTCCAAGTTTTCTCTGTTTGTGGATAATGGCTCATCATGGTTCGCTGGCAGTCCAAAAGCCTTAGAAATGGCTTTGTAACCCTTTATAGACGGATACATGTCAATTACTTTGTTTCTTATCTGTTCCTTAATTTCTTTAGAACGTGGCGTGTTGCTTTTTGAGATCTTTTAGCGTGCTATCAGACAGCTTCTATTTAAGGGATTTGATTCAACAGGTCTTGCAGTAATCATGCCTGGGTGTGGCAAGTGAAATTTAACACCGCTTTCCAAAAAATGTGGTTAATCACAGTTTATTCATTTAGCAAAGGGGGGGGGGGGAGCAATTACTTTTTCAGATACGGCCAAGCAGGTTTGGACAGCGTTTTTCCCTTAATAAAATGAAGTAATTTAAAAACTGCATTATGTAATTACTCGGATTATCTTTGTGTAATATTAAACTTTGTTTAAAGATCTGGATCATTTAAGTGTGACAAATATGCAAAAAATAAAATCAGGAATAAGGGGAAAAAAAAAAAAAAAAAATACACTTTTACAGCACTGAATACATTATAGCACCTTGCTTCAGTACTTCTGTCCCAAGAACCTTCAGCAAGCAGTGGGCTGACTCCTGGGAGTAGTTATGCAAAAATCAAAAAGCAATGATGGCCAAATTTCAATTGAATTTTGACACCAAGCTGCACAGCCCCCACTCCCCCCCACCTTTCATCTTTCACATCCAGAGCCTCTACTACCCACCAAGGTTCAGGAATTTTACAGATAGATGTTAAGTTCTGAAGCCAGGAGTAAATCCCTAAAAGCACATTTTATTTTCTTGCAAAAAACTGACCCCTGTATACAGCAGATGTGACAAAACCCCCCTCCTCTTAGATTGTAAGCTCCACGATCAGGCCCTCCTATCCCTCTTGTATTGAACTGTATTGTTGCTGTATTGTCTCCCTTTATATTGTAAAGCGCTGAGCAAACTGTTGGTGCTATATAAATCCTGTATAATAATATTAACAATAATAACAAACCAATATTGGCATAAGCAGCCAGCAAAAGATAAGAAAAAAAAAAAAATTACAACATTTTCCCATAGGATATAAAGGCATACAAGCTGCATTCTACAAAGCTCATTCCAACATATCAGTTGCCTGTCTCACCTGTAATGCTGCTGTGGATTCCTCGCTGGGCAGAGAATCAATAAGAACATCAATGTCTTTTGCTGTCCGGGCAATGAGAGCTGCAAACAGCTGGGCATACTCTGACATGAAGAGACATCCAAATATTAAAAAAAACAAAAAAAACTAACCCAATTTCAAAATATACTAAAAGCCCTAAAATAAAAAAAAAAAAAACACAACAACTCACAACAGTTTAAATCAAATAAATTCCATGGCAATAAAAAAATAAAAAAGGAAGGAGGTATGCAAAGTCTTAGGGCTCATTTAGATGGGTGATTAAGCCTGTCCTCTGCGCAGCTGCTGGCAGATGCTTGTTATCCACTTCCATGGGCTGCCTGAATGCAGCTCTGAGGTGGATAACACATGCAGCACCGGCACGGACACAAACACATGTCAATGTTTGACATGCTGGCAGGAGTAGATCACAGATTCTATTGCAAAGCCTCTCATCCCTGAGTGTGAACATCCCAGGAAAGGAAGTGTGTTACAGGAGGAATCAAGAGGGGTAGAATTCTGTAGCCCTGTCCTAGGTTGACAGCACTGTCCCTCCAAAGATACAGTGAGTGAGCACTGTCATCCCAGGACAGGAAATACATTACTGGCACAATCACCTGGTTTGACTGAAGTGCCAAACCTTCAGTTGGGGCTCATACACATAGATGCAAAGCTCTGTACAATGTAAACAGATGTTTGTTATGCAGGCAGCCTATACAAGTGAAAGGATACACCATCTGCTGTACAGACACACCCGTACAGTCTCAATGATCAGGTATGGAGGGACAGGTGCGCAGTCCCCCAGTACCTGTCAAACTTGACTGTGTGGGTGAGTCTGTACAGTTGATGCATATTCATTCACTTAAAGGGGCTGCCTGCACACAGCTACAGGCTAGGACAAAAGATAGACAAACAGCTCTTCACACTGTACAGAGCTCTGTACCTATGGGAATGAGCCCTTATATGTGTTTAGAGGACATTCCCAAATGCAGATAAATGCATGCAATGATCTTTCAATGAAGCTATTCACACTGAGCATTTACCTGTGTTTAGGTGCAGTCAGTTTAACTGTGTGTTGAGAAAACAGAATGGTGTGTCCAGGATCTGATTAGACACTAAATGTGGCTAAACACACTTAAAAGTCAGAGACATCTACATGCAGGGAAAAGTGATTTGAGAATTCCAGTGTGAATGAGCCCAAATTTGTTCTTTGGATTGGATACATTTTAAAATATTGTACTCTAATATTGCACTGTGTTCATCTACACAAACCAAGCAGGACCTGGAGATACAAACATGTATTCAGCTGTTGGATCTCTAATCAAAACATTCAGATTACCTTCTGTGGGGTTGGGCGGCTGATCCTTGTTTATTGTCGTTTGGATGTTATTAAACGATGCTGGAGGGGCACACTGTTGCAGCACTCCGATGGCATTGCAGAACTGATCAGCAAGCTTCATATGCACAGAAGGAAAAAATAAAAAAAGTTTATGAGATTCATATTCCTGTCATGTGAAGAGCTTTCTAAGTAGATGCTGAATGAGGCTGAGAAAACAAGGAATCTTACAGAGAAGCTGAGGGTCAAGGGACTAAGCAGTGTGACAACCTATAGATAGCTGGCCAATAATGGTTCAGCCTACCAGTTGAACGAGGGAAAAAAAAAAAAAAAAAAAAAAAAAAAAAAAAAAAACAAACACCCTACACAACCACACTGATCATATTCCCCCATCCACACATTTGAGATGGATGGGGGTAATTCTCCCTTCTGCACTATTGCATTCTGACAGCTGGGAACCTCCCCCACTGTCAGAATACACTGATCAGTGCTGCAACCATTGTCTGCAGCTGCTGATTGAGCTCCTTTTCGTACTCAAATGTTTTATTAAAATATCACAAAACCCATCACGTCACATAACAGGTATCATAAATAAAGAATGTTTTTACGCAGGGAGTGGTACATTATCAAGTTCCATTAACATGTCAAAATAAATGACAACTGAACACAATATGCCAATCAACTTATGAACAAAGATAGTCCCTCAAATGGTGGCTTTTAGCAACCGAATAGCTATAGTAGAAGTAGAAAAAGATAGACACGTCCGGATGGCCCACCCCAGCCATGGCCCCAGGGAAAACTAGGACCAGAGTCGGTGAATTATTCAGCAATGTACCAATAAACAAGAGCAAAAGGTAAAGAAGTAGTGGGGGAAGAAAGGGGGGGGGTTTAAAAGGAGAAGGATGGTTCCAGGATTGAACCGGCCACAGTCCCAAGAGCACAGTCAACTGACAAGAACAAGACAGCTAAATCTCCATAAAGGGGGCAAAAATCTATTGGCCCAAGGTTGCCAGATTTTGCAGTATCACCTTGTCCTGGACCATTGTCTCAATGAGTACCTTTTATCAATCAAGGAAGTTGAAAGGTAGGTTGACTTCTATTCAACTGCAATTGCCACACATAGCTTGAAATTCAGCCAGGCCCTGCTGAAATGGCTAAGTTCAATCCATCTGTGGCCACCTTTAGACACCAATTTCATTTACACTGTCACAGGTTTTCTTGGGCCGATGTAAAACACAGAACGAACACTGCTATAGGCAGGACTTTGCAGTGATGGACCATGCTGTTGCACCTACATTTTATTTTTATAAAGACCTCAGTGCTGTTCTATCCATCCTAATACTGCATGTTGTTGTGCTGACACCCCCTCAGGAGGCTGCTCCATGACTGTACTAACAACATGTCCTCAGTCTACCAGTAACATTGAACATAGTTCATCCTAGAAGACTGAGGACATCTAGTGACAGAAATTAATTACTGCAGGAAAAAAATAATAAATACAAATCACCAGAGACAAGGCAAATACTGCATCCAAAACTGCATTTTTTAATCTGGTGAAAAAAAAAAAAAAAAAAAAAAAAAAAGGGATTGGTGAGCTTTAAATCAGAATTAAATTTGGAGAAAAAAAATGGCTAGGAGGTAGGAAATGTTGATTTAGAAACATACAAAATCTCTTCTGCAAGAAATATCTCCCTCTCTCCCCCCTGGAATGCAGAAGCCATGCAGTGTACCCTCATTGGGCCAGGCTCCAAGAGCAATATAACTCCTGTGTACATGCTTGGGAGGTAAATCATCGGTGGCCACCCCAGGGTTGAAGAGGATGCCTAGGACCCTGGAAGTAGTGGTAGGGGAAATGGTGGGGGGGCAGAGCCTACACTGAACATGCTGGAGAAGAGCACACATGTAGGTTTAGAGTGCCATAACGTGTATTTATGCTGTGCAGATTTTCACAATATGGCAAACGTTCACCCAGCACATAGCGAGTTGAGACCATTTTAACTGGTTAGAGGAGAACTTCAATGCATTCTTATGGGAAAGCCTTACACTAAGTGACCAACTGAGGCCACTATGAGCATGGTGCGCTCATAAAATCAATAGGTGTGGGGTGTGAATGCACAGTGTGGTGTGGCCATTTTGTTTTTCAAAAGGACAGACCAAAAGGCTTATGGTGGGACCAAGCAGTGAAGTTCTCTGAATCAGGGATGAAGGTAGGTACAATCCCCATTTCAAAAACATTTGGGACGCTGTGTAAAATCTACATAAAAACATACCATTTTAAGAAAAAAAAAAAAAAAAAGTAATTCTGAAACGGATGACAGCAAGAAGTCTCGAAAAAAGTCAGGAAAGGGCAACAAAAAGCTGGCAAAGTACATAGTACTAACAAGAAAGAGCTAGGTCAGTAACATGTTTGAGTATAAAAAGAGCATCTTAGAGAGTCAGTGTTTTAGAAGTAAAAATGGGTAGAAATTAACTGATCTGTGAAAAGCTGCATCTAAAAATTGTTGGACAATTTCAGGTCTCCTCAGTTCCCAGACCTTTACAGAGCGTTGTTAAAAGAGAGGGCACTACATCATGGTAAACATGGCTCTGTCTAAACTTTTTGAGACATCTTGCTGTCATCACTTTCAAATTACCATCTGATAAGTTTTCTATTGTGAAAATAATATGGGTTTATTTATTTCAGGTACTTGTATAGCGCTGTCAATTTACACAGCGCTTTACATATATATATATTGTACATTCACATCAGTCCCTAACCCTCAAGGGGTGTACAATCTAAGGTCCCTAACTCACATTCATACACATACACATACTAGGGCCAATTTGGACAGGAATAAATTCACCTATCAGCATGTCTTTGCACTGTGGGAGGAAACCGGAGTACCCGGAGGAAACCCATGCAAGCACAGGGAAAACATGCAAACTCCATGCAGGAGATGCCATGGTCGGGAATCAAACCCATGACCCATTTCATTGCAAGGTAGACGTGCTAACCACTAAGCCACCCCATGTTTATTATTATTATATTATACAGTATTTATAAAGCGCCAATGGCTCGCTCAGCGCTGTACATTACAAAGGGGGACAGAACATGTGACAGAACAATACCAATACAATGCAAAACATGAGGGGTTCGAGGGCCCTGCTCTTTCGAGTTTACAATCTAGGAGGGAGGGGATAGTGGTACAGGAGGAGATAGCTGTGGGGGATGGAGCGGTAGGAAGAGTGGAGGAGGTCGGCAGGTTAGCAGGGGGTGGGGTAGGCTTCCCTGAAGAGATGGGTTTTCAGGGTGCGCCTAAAGGAGAGGAGAGTAGGTGATAATCTGATGGGTTGGGGCAGGGAGTTCCAGAGGATGGGTGACACCCTGGAGAAGTCCTGGAGGCGGGCATGGGAGGAGGAGACCAGGGAACTAGAGAGAAGGAGGTCTTGTGAGGAGCGGAGTGTGCGTGCTGGGCGGTACTTGGATATTAGGTCAGTGATGTAGTTCGGGGCAGTATGGTGGACAGCTTTGTAGGTCAGTGTTAGGATTTTAAATTTGATCCGTTGCGCAATCGGAAGCCAGTGGAGTGATTGGCAGAGGGGGGTGGCGGAGATGGAGCGGTTGGAAAGGTGAATGAGTCTGGCAGCCGTATTCAGGATCGACTGAAGCGGGGATAGCCAGCGGCGAGGCAGGCCAGTGAGGAGGGAGTTCCAGTAGTCGAGTCGCGATATGATGAGGGAGTGGATGAGCTGTTTAGTGGTTTCTGGGGTTAGGAACGTGCGTATTTTTGCGATGTTGCAGAGGTGGAGTCTGCACGAGTTTGTTAAAGATTGGACTTGGGGCTGGAAGGATAGGTTGGAGTTCAGAATGACACCAAGTACTCTGGCCTGCGGGGCGGGTTTGATGGTGGCGTTGTTGGATGTGACGGAGAAGTCAATGGGGGGTGGTGTCCGGGCTGGGGGGAAGACAAGAAACTTGGTTTTGGAGAGGTTCAGTTTAAGGAAGTGGAGCGACATCCAGTCAGATATGTCGCTCAGTAGGTGTGTGATTCGGGCGGAGACCGAGGGGGTGAGGTGGGGGGTTGAGAGATAGATTTGTGTGTCGTCGGCATATAGGTGGTAGTTGAAGCCGTGAGTGTATGAGTTGGCCAAGGGAGAGGAGGTGTAGATGGAGAAGAGAAGGGGCCCGAGGACAGAGCCTTGAGGGACCCCAACAGAGAGGGGGAGTGAGGGGGAAGTGGTAGCATTATAGGTAACGCTGAAAGAGCGTTGTGACAGGTAGGATGAGAGCCAGGAGAGAGCAGAATCTGAGGCCGAGGGAGTGTAGTTTTTTTTTTTTTTTTTTTTTTTTTTTTTTTTTTTTTTTTTTTTTTTTAGGAGGAGGGGGGGGTGGACTGTGTCGAAGGCTTCTGCAGAGAGGTCAAGGAGTAGGAGCACTGAATAATGGCCATTAGCTTTGGCGGTTAGCAGGTCGTTGGAGAGTTTGAGTAGGGCGGTTTCGGTGGAGTGTAGGGGACGGAAGCCGGACTGTAGGGGATCGAGGAGGTGGTTGTCGTTGAGGTGAGAGCATAGGCGGGTGTAGACGAGGCACTCGAGGAGTTTAGATGTAAATGGGAGCAGGGAGATGGATCTGAGGTTGTTTGGGTCATTGGGGTCCAGGGAGGGCTTTTTAAGTATGGGGGTGATGTGTGCATGTTTCAGAGGGGAGGGGAAAGTGCCGGAGGAGAGATTAAAGATGTGGGTGAGGGAGTGTAGGATGGAGGGGGAGGGAGGTAGTAGGAGTTGTGAGGGGATAAGGTCGAGGGGGCAGGTGGTGAGGCGGGCATCAGAGAGGATCTTGGATGGTAGTAAAGGTCAAAGGTGCGGAGTGTTGGGGGGGGGCTTCAGTATGAAGAATGTAGGGTGGGGTGGAAGTGGGGGTCAGAGCAGTGGTGGGGCCGTGTGGAGAGGGGTGATGAGGGGGTAGTTGAGTGAGGGGGAATGGGGTTGGAGGGAGTTTGAGCAGCGACGAAGTCCCTGCAGGTTATGTCGAGGGAGAGGGGGGATGAGGGGGTAGCTGTGTGAGAGGGGACGGGTTGAGAGGGTGTGTGAGTTGCAGCGATGTCCTTGCGAATTGTGTCAATCTTGTTTTTGAAGTGA